CCCTCACTCTCTCTGCTCTGACAGGGGGACCCCTCACACTCTCTACTCTAACAGGGAGACCCCTCAATCTCTCTCTGCTCTGACAGGGGGACCCCCCTCTCTCTCTGCTCTGACAGGGGGACCCCTCTTTCTCTACTCTGACACTAGCATCATCGTCCAGTCTGGTGTCAGCTCTCAGGAAGGTCCTCACTGTCCCCTCTCGAACCCGGGACCCTCTTGGTAAGAAGGCCAGCACCGCAGTAGACCTGTTTTAAAGCAGTCTGACCCAACAAAGGCCCAGGGACGAGCTGCTGACCTGCCCACCCACAGGAGAAACTACACCGAGCCAAAGGTGCAGAACAACAGCTCTTTATTGAGAGAAACATCTACAGCACAGCTAGTGCAGCCCCCACTTACACAAATACACACTGAAACACACTGATACACACACACTGACACACTCACTGAAACACACACACACTCATACACACTGACACACTCACAGACACACACAAACACTGATATACACACACTAACACACACTGACAATGTGTGTATCAATGTAAAGGTGTCCAGCTCCAGCCCAGGACCGCTATGACAGCTCTCTTACCCTAGAGGGCGCTGTCTTGTTCACAAAGCTGTCAGTGTACAGCAGGGTCTCGACAGCTGGAGCTCCACAGCAGGCAGGTGAGCGCTGCGGTCTGGCCGTGGGTCTGGCAGGGAGACGCCAACTTCCTCATGAGCAGCACAGCAGAGGCCAGCGAGCAGCTCTCTCCCTGCCGCTGTGTCCAGGAAGGGGAAGGACAGGCCGGAGACAGCTGGACAGGCTCAGGACAGCGAGGCGAGCTGGCCGCGGAGCCGGGGGAGAAGGTACAGGCATCCTTCGGCCCAGAGGAGAGTTTCACACTCTGTCAGCTGAGTGCCATACGCCTGCGATTACTGCTGGTCCTTTCAGTTGATCCGTGTTCATTTTCTAACCTCAAGCCAATGCGTTAGTATGTCAATTATCATATATCACCTAGATCAAGGTTTCTTACGTCTGTTAGCCAAACACACTACATGCTGTAGGACATTATGAGACATTATAAGGATGGAGATATAGCCAAGTTTTCCCTCGAACCATCGCAGATGTCAACACCCTTGTACTGTGCTGTGGAACCACCCGTTTCCTGTGATGTCATCAGGGTCCTGTTATTGACCCATCCTGGGCTGGAGGAGGTTCACACACACACACACTCCTCAAAATTGACATTGGACGGGCTCAAACCACTACAGTCAGGAGATGTCCACTGGGGCAGGTCAGGGGTGGAATGTGCAGAGCAATCCCAGAACCCTCTGCTGGGGTCACACAGAGGTCAGGGTCTGGGCTCAAAGTGTGGGCGTGTCCCTTGGACTGATGGCCTGTTTTGGATGATTAACTTGGGATCTCTGCGAAATGGGTGTGGGTCAGCCAATCAGAGCTGCTCGGGCAGGCTCGATGTCGGATGTCACATCGTGCGCGGGCTGTAGGGGTGACCCGTGAGAACTGAGGCCTGGCTGTCCGGTTCTGGACAGGCACACCGGCACAAGCTCTCCCACACCCCTCTTGTGCAAATCAGCGTTCAAGTATAAAAACATAATCACTAAAAGACAGGTGTGTGCACACAGGACGAGCAGACACACTCAGGGACAGATCTGTGATGGGCAGGCAGGTGGACAGACAGACAGATGGACAGACAGGCAGGTGGACAGACAGTAAGGTGGACAGAATCTCCAAAACAGAGATGCACATAGTGACAAAGACACCCCGGCAAATCAACGCAGACAAAAACTAAAAACAGATTTTTCTAAAATGTTGTCATAATTATAAAACTGAAATGAACTTCAGGAAAAGTGAAAGCCTGCAGTGTCTGCGAGCACTTCAGCCACTGGCCCTGTGGGGGGCTCTGTGTGACCCCAATCTCGGACGGCCATCAGAGCCAGCCAGCCACTGGCCCTGTGGGGGGCTCTGTGTGACCCCGATCTCAGACGGCCATCAGAGCCAGCCAGCCACTAGCCCCGTGGGGGGCTCTGTGTGCCCCGATCACTGGGCGCTCTGTGTGACCCCGATAGCTGGGCGCTCTGTGTGACCCCGATCGCTGGGGGCTCTGTGTGACCCCGATCGCTGGGGGCTCTGTGTGACCCCGATCGCTGGGCTCTGGGGGCCGGGGGCTGGGGGTGGGTGCTGCAGCAGTGCATGCTGGTAGCTGGTTATTCCTGCCGACGCGGAAGATGGCTGAGCAGGAACTCCCCAACCCCCAGGAAGTAGATGACCTGGGCGATGCCGAAGAGGGGGGCGATAACCAGAGCACGACAGTATGCCCCCTTCAGGAAGGCAAGGGGACCTTCACGCTGCAGGATCTTCCTGTGGGCACAGACAGGCAGTCAGACAGACCCAGGCAGAGAGACAGGCAGACAGGCAAGGAGAGACAGGCAGGGAGACAGACAGGCAGACGGGCAAGGAGAGAGACAGACAGGGAGACAGACAGTGAGGGAGATAATCAGACAGACAGGCAAGGAGAGACAGACAGGCAGACAGGCAGGCAGACGGGCAAGGAGAGAGACAGTCAGACAGACAG